GAAGTGGGATAGTGTAGTAGTTTATAACATGAGCTTTGAAATCAAATTGTATTGAAAACAACATTACCATTTATTAGCTCTGACCTTGTAGAAATCAGTTATGTTTTTTGTACCTCATTTTTATTATCTGTAAAATATTCAAAATGATATCTATCTTATGGTGCAACCATAATGATTAAATGAGATAAGGTATACAAAAAAGTTTACTGAAACATCTCCCACTTTACAATGCCTGATAGATGACTTAGCAAATGTAATGAAATAGTGTTTTGTTAGAATTATTATGAAAAATAAAGGTAGAAGTGTTATCATTAATTAATATTGATAATAATGTCTAAAAGAAATTTTGTCTCATTAAAGAGAAAAAACATAACTAGAAATATTGTTTCTTGCACGGTACTATTCAACCTCTTGTATTTAGGGATCTGTATGATTTGTTCATTATTAAACAGCCCCAGCTCAGTGTATCAGCTCCAATTAGGAGGCTGAAATCAGACTGCAATTTGAAAGGAAACATTTAACTATAAAGGATTTTTAACTATAATTTAAGATTGGAGAAATGGAAGATTAGTCAATAAAGGGTAATGGGGACTCTAAAAATGTAATAGAAGAGATAGAGAGCAGCTCCACTTCATAGTTCTTAGACAGAGTAACCAATTAAGGAAAAATCTGGGAGGCATCTTTCTCCTGGGACTGATAGCCAAACCTCTTGAGAGAGACCATGACTGAGGCTTAACAGAAGGTTAAACAATTTTGAGTTTGCAAGGCTGCCCAGGGGAAGATGTATGAGAAGCCACCCACTGGGAGATGCCACATCAGCAGCATTTATTGAGAATCTTTTCCCTGGGGTACCAGCAGAAGCCACCCATATAAAATAACTAAATCTCAGATCTTTCTATAAAACTGCCTGAGGGTACAAGAAGAGAAGTGAGTCATAGAAAAATTCCAGAAGAACAACGATGTACTGTAAAGTCAATAAACAAGGTGTAAAAAGGGAGCCATTCACAGGAGGTGCTAGGCTGAAATGCTCTGCTGCAAAACCATGAGTGCTGGTGGAGGCTGGCACCACAGAAGCTGAGCTTCTTGCCATAGTCTGGTGCTACAGAGACAGAGATTACTGCAGGATCCTGCCTAGAGGATCACACCAGAACTAGGAGAAGAATCCCCTTCCTCCTCCAGGGCCTCTTCAGAACACACTACTGGCACAATTTAACATTTTGCTAACTAGAAAAGCCAGTATAACAATAAATGATAAAAAGTCTTCTTTAAGAACAAATAGAGAAAAAGAGATAAAAATATGAATAATAAGCTGGCAATAATACACATCTATCAACAATTACTTTAAGTGCAAATGGATAAAAAGCTTCAATCAAAAGACATGCAGTGCCTGAATGGATAAAAAAACATGACCTTTATATACTCTGTCTACAAGTGTTGGGAACTGTCCCTTCTGGTCTCAGGGACTGCAGCTTCGCCGACAGGCGAGAGAGCCCCAAGGCTGGAGCTGAGCAAGGAGGCCTTGGGAAAACAGGCCACTCAGGAGACAAAACCTGCCTCCCTCACATCACCCTGCTTGGCCAGGGAGGATGCCTGGTGAGTCAATGATGGGTGAGACCCTTTGATGGCAGGGGAAACCTAAGACAGGCACAGTCACATAGGGGCCATCAGGGAAGGACTTAGGGGACACAGAGAAAGGGCAAAAGATCCTCACCCCTCGGCTTTGTCATGGCAGGAGTCCTCATTCTATCTGAAAGAAGTCTCCTTATCTCTTGGCTGCTCTGCTCCACCCTCCTGGCTCAGGCTTGAGACAATGCTAAAGGCACATACAGCCCTAATCTGGATCAGGCAGTTCCCGGGGACAATTAGGCCTGGAAAAAGAATGGATTAAGTCCTTTGAAACTTACTTTGCTAAGAATGCCCTCGAATTGATGTTTGGGGTCGAGCATAGAATGTGATCAGTTTCCCAGGTTTCAGGGCCAAATGGGCCCACCCTGTCTACCAAACCCTGATTTGAGGCAAATCTCTAAGTTCTTTCACTTGTTATCTATGATCTCTGTTTTCTGTAAACATAGCCCTTTGACATCGATTGATGAGTTTTGCATCCATGCTGTATACCTCTGAGATATGGTTCTCAATGAAAACCACTTCAAGAGAAGGGCTTGGGGCATTCTCCATTAGAGGGAATCACCACCCCCTTTTCCTGTCAGACCGAGAAGTGTCTGGAATGACTTATTTTATTTTCCTCCATCTGCAGCAACCCAGGGGAACTCTGTGTGTGGTGCAGTACCTCCCTCATCTGGTGCCCGAACAGGGACAACCGTCATACAAGAGACTCACTTCAGGTCAGAAGACATAGATGGACTGAAAGTAAAAAGATGAAAAAAGATATTTCATGAAAATTGAAACAAATAAATAATAATTGAAAAACTACTAACTTCTTTGGAAATAATAAAAGGAAATCACTACTTAATGACATACTTAACAATTACAGACATCAGTGTTAAAATAATGTTATGAAAAAACTAGAAGAAAAATACAAAAGGATATATTATCTCAGGGATAAAAGAGGGCTTTGGACACAAAATAGAAACTCAACACAAAATAAAAACTCAAAGGAAGAGATAGATTTGTTTGACAATAAAAATATTTTAAAAGTTCTTTATATTAAAAATAAAACTCCATGAATAAAAGTAACAGGTAAATTGCAAAACAAAGTAAATTTATAAGATGTGTGACAGAAAAGTGTTTAGCATCCCAATATGCAAATTTCTCATTCACAAAAAAAAGCATAGAAAACTTTATGTTTTTCCTTATTTTTGTCTTTATTTTTATTGTTGACATCATTGAAGATGTCCCCATCTCTCCCACTTTGCCCCCCTCTTCCCAGCCTCCACTCTCCCTTCCCTCTGACCATCATCACACTGTTGTCCTTGTTAATGGGTTATACATATTTGCTCTTTGGCTAATTCCATCACCTTCTTTCAAAGAATACTTTAAAAAATGCATGTAAGTATGCTAAATAAATGGTAATTGCTAGTAAACTTCAAAATATTTTTTAAGGGATACATGTTTTGGTTTACATTACTGTCTCATGCAGTGTTCCACATTGTCAAAGATACTGGTGAGGCAATCAGCACCTCTCATACATTCCTTCTGGGATTCTAAAATGTTAACATTTCCTGAGTATATGTAACACATGCCCATAGCCTTTCTTACCAAGCAATTCCAGTTCTAGGAATTTATGAAAAAGAGAAATATAAAAATATATGCATATATGTCAGCACTACTTAAAACAACTTAACAATAAGGACTATAAAACAAAATTAACACCATTTTTATGGAAATTTGTAAAACTATAAAAATACCATTATTAAAGTATATTTCACTTATGGATATGTAAAATATGTTCATAATAAAATGTAAAGTAGGTTAGAAAACTATATATATCATACAAGTACATGTATATTTTCATGCACATATACATGCATATTAGACCGATAAATACATACACATCTGATGTAGTCACCTTTTAAGCTAATGTGTTATAATAAAATATTAGAAAAAGACACTGAAATACAGTATTGATAGGTATGATTTTTTTTGAAAGGTGAGTATTATTAAACTTTGCTAGACACTCCGAGGAAACTAGAAATCTTAAATCCTCATGACTTACAAAACCAAATGTTTTTCTGTAGCTTATAGTGGTATCGGTAGCTGCAAATTGGTTAGGACTTTGTTCTATCTATCTTATCAGTTCATTACCCAGGCTGAAGATACAACTCATTAAGGTATGCCTTTTTGGAGGAGATACAGAGGGCCCAGAGGCATTTGAAAGGATGTTCAGCATCACTAGCCATCAGAGACATGCAGATCAAAACCACCATGAGGTACCACCTCACACCGGTCAGAATGGCCATCATAAACAGATCCACAAACAACAGGTGCTGGCGAGGCTGTGGAGAAAAGGGAACCCTGGTACACTGTTGGTGGGAATGCAGACTGGTGCAGCCATTGTGGAAAGCAGTGTGGAATTTCCTCAAAAAGCTGCAAATGGAACTGCCTTTGGATCCAGTGATTCCCCTGCTGGGACTATACCCTAAGAATACCAAAACGCCAATACAAAAGAACCTATGCACCCCAATGTTCATAGCAGCACAGTTTACAATAGCCAAGTGTTGGAAGCAACCTAAATGCCCATCAGTAGATGATTGTATCAAAAAGTTATGGTACATATACACAATGGAATACTACGCAACAGAAAGAAAAACAGAACTACTAAACTTCGCGACAGCATGGATGGACCTGGAGAGCATTATGCTAAGTGAAATAAGCCAGGGGGCGAAAGACAAATACCATATGATCTCACCTATAAGTGGAACCTAACCAACAATACAAAGATGCAAGGAAAATAAGACCAGCAACACTGAAAGGATAAGAAATCAACAGAGACAAGAGGGAAGGAGGGAGGGGAGGGCAGGGGGAAAGGAAGGGAAGGAAGGGAAGGGGAAAGTCAAGGAACATATAGCAAGGACTCATGGACAAAACCAAGGGGGGAAGAGCTGAGGGAGGGAAGGAGGGAGGGGGCAAGGGAAAGTGGTGGGCGGTAGGCAGAGACAAACGTATTTGAAAAAATAAATAAAAAAAAAAGAAAAAAAGTATGCCTTTTTTATGTCAGAGAAAAAAAGAATAAAGGAGCTTACAGAAACACACATTGGGCCCTAGCTGGTGTAGCTCAGTGGATTGAGTGCCCTCCTGTGGATCAAAGGGTCACTGGTTCAATTCCCAGTCTAGGGCACATGCTTGGGTTGTGGGCCAGGTCCCCAGTAGGGGATACATGAGAGGCAATCACACATTGATGTTTCTCTCCCTCTCTTTCTCATGCCCTTCTCCTCTCTAAAAATAAATAAAATCTGTAAAATAAAAGAAATAAAAAAATGTGTTCAGTGAAAAATATATGAGATCCTAAGTTTTGGATGTGATGAATCTGAGAAGCTTGCAGAATGCTAGCTCACAGAGAAGAGGATATGGCAGTTATTGGTGTATATGTGGTAAATGGAAAAAGAGAGGTAAGTGTCACTGATCAGGAAAGATAAAAATAAGATCATAGATAGTACTTTCTTTCAGAATTTCATTGAAGAAAAAGATTGTCAATAATAGAGACTTGATAAAATAAAACAATGTGGTCACCATGTAGGAGAACATAATTTTGGAATAAGACAAAAATGTTGAAAGTAAACTATTTCCAGATTAAAAATAGCATTTAAAAAGTGCTTTAAAGTTATAATACAATATAACTGGTATATTGTCCAAGTATGATATAATCTGGTCCTTGCACAAGTTAGGAAAGGGAAAATTGGACTTTCGGGAGTTTCACTGGCAAGTCTTTTCTTCACATACTTGCTGCTTTATCTTTTCCTTCAACCATAACCAGTCAAGGTTTTCTTTATTCCCTGTTTTAACAAGGTATCTACAAGATACCGTACCACTTTCCCATGATGTCCCTTAGTAAAGTGGTAAAATTCAAGCCTGTATTTTGCTCTAGTGTTTAATGTTACTTCTACTTAAGACCAATGCTCTGTTAATTCTCTGACTTAATACTATGGCTACTACTGCTGGTGTGTTGCCTGTTTGTCCTTTTTGTTAATCATATTACACACACACTCATATATATATGTACCTACTATCTTAAAGTTCTCTTGATTAGGTTAAAATCTCATATTTTGAACTCTTGAAGTACTCTGGAATTACATCTGGTTCTAAAGTTCAATGCATAATCTACACTTTAAAAATAATATCTATAATTCATGCTATTATTCTCAGTATTTTGACCTTGTTCTAAGAAATCAAAAAGAGTTGAGTGTTTGACTAAAGCAATAGTAGTCACTAAGAGTCAGATAGAGCAGAAAGATTAACTAAGATATATATTACAATTTGTACATTAGCCTTAACAGTAATAAATTCATTGTTATTGTTGACCTCATTGTTGACCACAATGAGAGCAGTTTCAGTAGCTAGTATAAAATAAAAAGTTAAAATCCAGGAGGTCAAAAAGCAAATCAGAATTGCTGAAGTAGAGATGAATAAGAAAGAAGAAGTGGTGTCTACTTTGATGAAGGTGGACCAAATGTGACCTATCTTCCAAGCTTTAAAATGCAGCTTCTGACTTACATGGAAAACTAGGATGAAGATCTAAACCTGTCAGCTTCCACAGGTTAGTTTCATGCATGATTGCTGCCTTAGTTGATGATCATGGTATGCGCAGTAACCCCATAGAAGCATAGCTAGCCATTTCAGCATTCTATCAGTTCTGCTAGAAGGTAGACCGCCAGCATATGCACAGTCTACTGAAGCTTTAACAGGTGCTCCAGAAATGACATGGAAAACTATTATACCCTTAGATCCAATGATCTAAGCAGTTCTAGTGGAAATCTGAGTGGAGAAGTGGCTTTATATACAAAAGTAATAATTAAACTCTATTATACTACTTAGCATGTAACATACAACCTAGAAATACCCCTGCCCTGATAGCTTAGGCACTTGAATAGGCTAGGAGGGTGAGGATAAGGAACAGTTGAAGGTAAAAGGAAAACATGCCCTTGCTAAGAGGATGAAGTCACCTTTATAAAGTATGGCCCTGAGACAATTCCTACTTAGTGTATGCAATATACACTCTTATGAAGCCTATTTATTTTCAACTCTAAGATGAGCAGGACCTATTCTGCTTTTAAATGGAACTGAAGATTTTCAAAGCCTACCTGCTAATTTACACAACTGAAGCTTCCAACTAGTCAGGGAGATTGGGTGAACAGACACTGATACTACAGGTGGGCTCACTACTGTTATTCACCTTTCCTGGGTTTCAATGACATTCACAGTGGGCACCAACTTGTTTTGAGGTGGTAAATATCACTAAAAATGTACCCATAGATTTCAGTAATATAATCATTAAACTCGTGTTACTTTCTGTTCCCTCTGGAAATGGTTTCTTCTTGACCTTTGGGCTCACTTTTTAGAAATATATAACCATGGTCAAGTTAAAACCTGAGCTTTCATTCAGCATACCGTGTTACAGAAAAGAAAATAGGTCTCTCTGGATGATGGAGATTAAAAAAAATGTATGCATTAACTTTACACCTAAATGGCTAACATTTTTATCAGCAGTGCCAGACCTCAGTCTGGTGATATGAGAATATTATTCAATGCTGCTTTATCCTGGTGAATAATCAGAACTTGCTTATTCACAAAACTAGAGTACCAAGAAAAATAAATAAATAGATAGATAGATGATAGATAGACAGATAGATAGATAGATAGGTAGATAGATACAGAATGAAGGTGGATAGAAGGTGTTTTTCCAAACACATAAGTGAGAATTCGCCAAACCTTCAGGATCAGAAAGGAGTTTAAAATGTGCCTTGGTGACAGCTTTTTTTATTGTTTGAGCAAACTCTGGCCTTTGATGTTGATCTGGGTATTAAGGATTTTGCTTACTGAGAGAGTGTAAGAGAGCAGAGACCCTGTGGATCTAGATTAAATAAGAATTGGTATTAGCTGAAAGATTAAGAGATAACAGTAAAGTGGAAGGAAGAGCCGTGCAAGCAGTCTGAGAGAACACAGACCACACATGTCTACATGGGCACCAAAATGAATTGGGAGAGGTAGGTCAGGCAGAAATGTTGATAGTCCAGGAGGTCAAAATAAGGGCCTGGGGCTGGAAGTGAAAGACTAATAATATTAAGGGGTCCAGGTTTTAAAATTTAATAATAATATTTTTTATCAGAATACTCTTTTTAGGCAAGAGTTCTCTTTTTATTGCAAAATTTATTTAAGCTAAAGGTGGTTTTCTTATGAAAAAAAGCTGTATCAAATACTTAACCCCAGTTTTCTTTTGTATCTTTTGCCCACTACCCTTCAAATTCTCAAATGGTCTTTTCTAGCTTGTGCTTCTTGCATCGTTAGTTGTATAAAAATGTAATGTCACAATTGGGAAAGCTTCAGTAAACATTGCTGATGATCAAATCAGTAAGTATCACCCGGTACCTATCTGGTTAGAAGTATAGTGTCTCCAAGTGATAAATGCCCAACTTTGGCAAACCAGGTGGTATGTGCCTACTGGCCTCCTCCTGTACTAACAATACCTGGAGGCCAAGTAGGATGAAAGCAACAGAGAGAGCACAGCATGTGTATATCATAGGAAGAGATTATTATTCTTGTTTGAATGTCCATTAGCATCTGTGCTTCTTATGGAAAGGGTTTCTCACTTGGAAGGCCATCAAACAGTACAGGTTACTTTCAATTATTTATATTAATAAAATGTGTCAGAGACAAAAAAAAGTGATTCTTTTGAAATCACTTTTGCTTCTGAAACTAGTTTTTTAACATTGTTGAATTGTCTTCTAGGACTGATTTTTATTTCTATTTTTTGTTTGGTTCCAGGTTATACTAAAATCAAACATTTACTAAGTTCTTACAATTAAATGTGAAAGGGATTCCCAGACACATATAAGGGACTGATGTTAGAGGTGAACAAGACATTAAATTTTGTAACAACTAATCCAGTTGAAGGGGAATTGACTGACTGAGGACACACTAGATTTCTCTCCATTTCAGAGAGAACACCTTGATAATGTTTTAGAGGATCTGGTGAATCTGGATGTTATAAATGACTGGGTTCATCCATGGTAGAGCAAGGATGTACACATTCGCTATATGACATAAATGGTCAGGGGAGGAATGGCTTGCAAACTTGGGAACAATGGAAGGGCCTAACACAGAAACATATAATACTAGGACAACCAGAATGCGAGATACACAAGTGTTGAGAGCTTTGAGTTGCCCGCTGTTGGAGACAATGACCATTACAGACCTGAGAATCAGAATATGAGAGAACAATAGGAAAAGGAAGTGTGAGCCCATAGCAAGAAAGATGACTGACAAAGCATTGAAGCCATTGAACCATGGTCAGAGAAGGAGAGTCAGATCATATTCTACTGTAGACAGTAGGAATGAGAAAAGATATTGATGTGACAGTAAGAAAATCCAAGCAGGTATACGCCAGGAAATATGAATGATGCACTAAGAATTCCCTCAAACACTGATCTTTACCATATGGGAGCTGGTGACAAATGAGGGATATCTTAGAAGGTTGGTGATGGTCACAAAGTGATCGCATGCCAAAGCTAAAAGCATGGCTGACTCCATAAAAGAAAAAGTATAGATGAAATAAAACTGAAAGACATAGACATAAATGGATACTGTCAAAATTTAGCCACAACAGTCCCAGTACTGTGCATATGACTGATGCACAGAGACCCAAGTCATTTCCTGCCAGCATGGTCAGAAAGTGGTACGTGATTAAGCTGATGCAGGGAAGTGTCCCTGTGGACAATGTGAATGAGAGGAGCATTGCCCAGGACTGCTGCCAGGCTTGCTGAGAAAATTGGTACAGCGATTCAGCAGCAAGCCCATTCAAATCCTGGAAAACCTGTCAGCAGGAACCTCGAAGAGCTAAAATTAGAATACAAAAGACCAGACATGACGTCAGAGGCTACTAGGCATAGATGATAAGAAATGACTCCTTTATTTTGCTTTTTCACAAAATATTGAACCAGATGAAAATTTACACAAAGTGAGTTGATTCATTTTGTACCTCTTCCTAAATCCCAGAGGATCTCAGGTTGGGATGGCAATACTTAGCAGTAAGGAATTTTGAAGCATTGTTTTTAATGGACCTGAACAACATCAAGGCAGCAATGCTGGCAGGAGCCAGGTCTAGAAGAAAACTGAGTTGTTACATGACTTTGGAGTCAACAAGTTAGAGAAAATTTTTCTGATTTTTAAGTCAGATAATTGAAAATGAGAAGATCAAATCATAGGTACAAAATGATTGAAGATTGAAAGGGGTTTGGAAATAGCTCAGGTGAAATAAAACAAAACAAAAACAAAGGAACAAAGACATCAATAATCAATATAAACTTGTTTCAGTGGCTATTGCATAGGTCACCCAATGTTCTTTTTTATACTTTTCTGTTGCTGAGTATTTTTTAAAAACAGATAATAAGAGCAT